GACCTAATCTCGTGTTATTTTCAATTTCAATACAAAAATAAACAGCACCGCTACAGGAAGCGAAAGTTTTCAACGAAACAGGAACAGGCCACGGGCATCTCAAACACGTCGATGATGGGCCTCTGGTGGGGGTTGGCCGGGTCCACGCACAAGAGGCGGGTTGCGGCGAAGCGCTGGACGCACGAGGACTTGTAGCACGGCGGCAAGAACTCGCACTTCTGGTTCAGGAACCTGGAGAACGCCATATAACATAAATAAATTTGATCTAGTCCCTGCACATTTTTTTACATTTTCCTCCTAATCTGTTAAAAGTGGGCTCCTAGCATGCGCAAGCACTCACTTGCACGTCTCCACTCGCACCATCTGGGGGAACTTGTCGGTGTTGACCACGGCCACCCACTGGTCCTTCCAGTTCCGGGCCCACCCCGGCCGCAAGTACGCCACTTCCGACTCGCACGCGAAGTGCCCTCGGTGCCTGGCGGGCGAGGCATGGGACAACAGTTATCGGACAAAAATAGCGATGAGGCAGAAAAGAGGTAAACATCGGGCTCTCACCTGTAGTTGTGCGTCACGTTGTCCCTGTTGATGAGCTCCTGGGGATTGTAGCGGTGCAGCGCGTGGTACAGCGTGTTGGCGTCGTCGTGGTACGTGTTGAGGATGTCGTGGACGCGCTCCCTGCGAGGCGAACGGGAAAGTAAGTGAACTTCCGGTGCATAAGAGGCAAGCGCGCGGGGGGGCTGGCTGTCGTGGTGCGCGGCACTCACTGCGGATAGTCCTGGTCGTAGAGGCAGAAGGGCTGGCCCTGGGCGCAGCGCGGCGTCGGCGACCGCCCCCGCAGCAGGACGTCCCCCTGCGACGCGCTGGCGGCGCCCTGTGGGGCCGCGGCCGCGTCGGTGCGCCCCGAGGCTCCTGCGGCTCCTGCAGCGGGTCCCGCGGGGCCTGTGGGCAGCGGAGCGGGGACGATTGGAGAAAGGGTCCGGTCCGGTCTCGGCTGGCCGCCTGTTGCCCGACACCGCCGCTCTGAATCACTTGGCTCCGCTTCATTACCCCCGCACCGCCTCGTTACCGACAGACAGACCGTCCGCACCTCGGCGCCGCCGTCAAGGCCCTACCGGCCCTGCCGCTGCTGGAGGCCAACGAAACAGTGCGGGGTCGGGAGTGGCACCAAGTAGGGCGTGTTGAACCGGGGCGAATGGCAGTAGTTTGTTTCCCTATCGGCAATGAAGCTTTTCACTGGTATGAAGAAGAGCGCAAAGAACATGAGTGATCTGCCGTTGGCGCGCTTCATATGCCAGTGAAATGCCGCATGTATGAGCGAGGCATGCGAGGTGTAAGCGGGAAGGCCGTCACTTACGGGAGTCAGTCCTCGGGGTCCAACAGCAGAGAGGCTCCCGTCCCCCCGACGCCTTACCGTGCTTGGCCGCCCGCGGGGCCTCGGACACGAGGTTCTGCCTGTGGCCGCCGTGGGGCACCGCGAGCGGCGCCTGAGCCGTCTGCGAGGCGGTCGACTGCGAGTAGAGCACCACGATGGACGGCACCTGGCTGACAGGGGCCTGGCTGCTCCGGACGACGTCGAGCGTCGCTGCGAGCACGAGCATCGCGACGGCCCGGCCGACTGGCCACGGAGGAGCGCTCCGGGACGACATTGTGGCGGTGGCGCACGCCTGGACGGCACTGGGACGGGGTGCGGGGCCTCCTGGCCGTCGGTGTCCACGGGGAGGATACGGCTCAGCGCTCCCCGCCCCGCCCCCGCCTGTTCTGACGCAAGGCGCTACGCTACGCACCTGGATCCGACACGCTGGAGCGCTAGAGGTTCCCTGCACCGTGTGTCAGGGCTCCGACCACCACAGCAGCAGAGCAGCAGTATCAGCAGGATCGCCCGCTCCTTCATCGGCAAGGGGCCGTGGCCCACAGGGTAGGCAAACCCGTGACACTTCTGTGTCGTAGCCCTACAAGGTACACAATGGGTTGGCCAATTTTCGAGTCAGTTGACATTCCCGTTCTAACCGGTTCTAACAGGACGTCACTGTTAGTGCCCACATAAATGTAGCGCCAAACCCGGCAGTCAGAGTCAGCTTAATACGACCCGACTACAGAAGAATCTATTTTGGACAATAATATCCGACGCCTCCATCACGTCTCTGTTTGTAGCTGCACGATTGTAGCTACAGCCGACAGGGCCCGAGTCAGCTTAAATTGAACCGCGTCTATTGACGAATTCATTACTTCCGCCAATGCTAGAATATCAACCATAAGTAAACAGCGCAAGGAATAAAGCGAAAACGAAAGGTATGCCTCTCCGAAGCTCTCGCCTTGTCCAAGCGCTCGGAGGGACAGGGGGCCGCGGGCGGCCGCGGGTCCCGCTTCAGAAAAGCATTGCCTACCCTCCAGGCGTTTTCAGCGATAACCATCGACCCACGCCTAGATTGACACTTCTTAGCTTTATAAAGGATTTATGAGCCTGGGGTCAAAAGAAGCCTAAACCCAAAGTCCCCGTCACGACAGACGCCTTAGAGAGAAGCCGTGGCCTACCTCGCAGGCGTCCAAGCGACAACGACAACTCATGTCGCGGCGACAAGTGGTAGAAGACACGTCCCTGTTAATGGACACAAAAATGTGATCACAAATGGGGCAACATGCGATGTCCGACGCCTCCAGCCACACGCCCCTTTTTTAGCTAAACAGTTGTAGCTACAGTCGACATGACCGCATGCAGCTTCATCAGAACCAAAATTGTCGGCCCTAATGTCAACTCCCGGACGGGGCAAATTTTTTCTTTGTCGCTTTTTGTCTCCCGTTAGGCAGGATCAAGCTGGTAGCACGGCAAATCGTGGGGATGGTAGGTACCGGTAGTTCGAATCCCGCGTCCGCGATCATTTTTCCTGCTCTGCTGCGGCCAAGTGTTTTCGGGCGTCAGTCACAGCTGACATGAGATCTGGATGCCACCGAAAGTTGTGCTCTGTATCGTTCCGTCGTGGCCACCTCGGTATCGTCCGGGCCCGGTATGAACCTGATCGCTGGTTCAAATCTCCGCTGGGCGATATTTTTCGCGTACGTTTGACGAAGGAGTTCAGAGAACTGTCTCCTCTTTTCCTCCCCTCTCCTCACGGCCTTGATGTTCTGGATATAACAGTAATGGCCGCTGTTTGCACGTGAAGAAGCAGTATGAAAAGGACGTCTGCTGTATACACTATTTACAGTCATCTTCGTATGTCTTCGTCGCCATTACAGTCCAGTTCATTTGGAAAATTCTGTTTATTTTTTGTTATTACTGATATAGTAATCATCCAATCACTTGATCACAGTGTTTGAGATGAAAGTATCGGAAACGGTAGGTTTCCTCTGCATTTTTCTAATTTTGTCAGCATCAGGATAAGAATATTAGCACATTAGCAATAAGCACCCAAGCCAGATTGACAGATGCATTTTGTCTAATATCTAGTACTGAAGCCTTAATTTGTGCATTTCCGCAGGTGATCCACACAATTTGACGATATGTTATTATACAATTTAAATCAAATGCATCGGATGCTTCTCATTCGTGCACTATCACAACAGAATGCATGGGAGGATGTTGCTAAACGATTTGACTTAGATCCTGCTATTCATTTAAAGCAGTAAGTAAATGCTGCACCTTGTGACAAAGAGTGATCCTTTGTTAAGTTTAAGATTCTCATTTATTGCAGACCCTCAGCATATAGCCTTATCAGTGCCTTAGAAAACAGAAACTGTACTGTGGAAAATCTAAAAGAATGTCTATGTGAACTACAGCTCCATGAAGCTTTGTCAATCATCAGTAAACCAGGTACGTCTTATGAGCAAGGAACAGATTTAGTTGTTTTCCTGACGTCTAATAAGCCTCTACATTCAGAGTATGACCTTAATACAGAGAAGCTACGCTTTGTCAAACAACCATATTGTGTAGAAACAGAAGACGTTGTAAAGGAAGATGATGCTCTCTGCATAAGAGCTGGTGGCAAACTACATTTAAAAGTTGAGGCAGTTGGTTGCCCTTTTCTTTCATATCAATGGTTTCGTGATAATAATAATATACCTCAGGAGAAAACACCAGAACTTATAATTACGAACTTTAGGTTTGTGAATGAATGAAATTACAATATTTTTTACGTATCTTACTTTGTTTGCATCATCTTAATTAGATTACCTCTGACTGCAAACTTTCAGTGATGAAATGGAAGGCCTATATTACTGTACTGTTCAGCAACTTAAGGACTATGGATGGAAAAGGACAGTTATATCTGAGGATGTAACAGTTAAAATTAACATTAAAGTTCTACGTGAAAAACCAAGAATACTGTCCTGTTTTCCCTCTGAAAAATGTGTCCTGGAATGTGGCCAAACTTTAAGTGCCAGAATTGAAGTGCTACCTGGCCTTAAAACACAATTCACATGGGTGCACAAGCCAAAAGAAAAAGACACAAGAAAACCCACACCAATGTGGAAATTCACTTCAAATATCCTAGAAATTCCAAATGTAAACGAAGAAAATGATGGAATTTATGAATGTCGTGTCAGAAATAGGTATGGGGTAGTTACAAAAACGTTTGAATTTGATGTAAAGAAAAAGAGATCTTTCCCGACAGCAAAGAGAGCTCTGATTGTGACAAACAGTTTATATCAAACTGACCAGCTTCGAACACCACATAATGATGCTGAGACTTTGTTTCAATGCCTGTCTAAATATAATTTTGAATGCACTATGGAAGAAGATCTTTCTGCCGAAGATATGAGAAGAGTGATAAAAGAATTTTTTGACACAGTGGAAAAAGGTGCTTTTGGTAAGAATTCTTTTAATAATCATTGTATGAAATATTATTATTCAATTGCCTTTGAATTTGACATGTTTTTATTTCAAGTCCTCTTTTACTTTGGTGGCCATGGATGTATGGTAAGCAACTCCTTGTATATGATGGGTTGTGATTCTGATTTGACAAATGTAAAAGAAAACCAAGTGGTTGGAGCACATATTTTAGAATATGTTGACAAACGTCAGCCACTCCTCTTCATTTCAATATTGGACATGTGTCAAACATGTGTTATGCTACCAAAGTAAGTATTTAAAATGTTAATTCTAAATTTGATGTGTCAACAAAAGGCTGTTGTCTTGTAACTTTAATATCTTTTCCTTTGAATAATGAAACTTTTAGCAATAACTCGGAAGAAAAGCAAAGCAAAAATAAATGGAACTGTAATGTGATCCAGTGTTGTTCTACATCTCAAAATAGAGCAGCTTTGGAGGAGTCTATAGGATCAGCTAAAGGAAACTCCGTTTATATGAAGCACTTTGAAAATATAATCAATACCAAACCTAACATTCCGTTTCTTGATATGGTCCGAGAAGTTAACATCAGTAAGTTATCTCATGTTTAACTTTTGTAGACATGGTAAAAGCACTAAGATTTTTGAATGGGATGGGAATGTTTCTGTCACAATGTCATTATTGTAATATATTTGTGGCTGATGAGTTGTTCTTCCCCCTTCCCTTCCCCAGTCCCTAATGATTTAAGTGAAATGTGACAAAAACATCCCCCTAGGGTTTGCCATGAAATTATACTTTTTATTACCCTAATTGATTGATTGATTGATTTAGGTGTTGGTGAAGAGACAATGGAACAAAGACCATCAGTAACACTCATAGGAAGAAGTGATTTTCAACTGTCTGATCCTATTCAACGGGTTTGACACAACTAGCTCCATGCAGCAGACCAAAGAATATATTTACCGGTATATATAAATAAATGGAGGTTATCTTTAATCTTTGTGATATATTTTTTTTAAAAATAACAGTAATAAATCATGAACAAACAGTTATGATTAGTGTTTTAGAACCAAAGGCATGATGACTTCCTAAAATAAATAACACCAGAAATAAAATTATTTCTGAGAAATTAATTGCATACAGATAACAAAAGGCCCAAAGAAACAGATTTCTCAACTGAGGAAACTTCACATGACTAGCATTGATTAAATCAATTCATACACTCACAACTTCTAATTATAATGTGAATTCAATAGAATTTCCCCCTACCTAAACTTTTGTGCATATGCTAAAGAAAAGTGTTAATTTGGGAAGGCATAGGCACAGAGATACTAACTCACTGAAAAGTAGAACATTGGATTTCCTCTCACATTTAGTACGTAGAACACAAGACACAAAAACAGATACAGTATATTTTTGTTAACTACTGTAGAAGAGTGAAAATGAGGCAACTATAATACACTCAAAATACATTCACACACCTACCTGCTTATTACATTTCAGATGTCAGATTTACAAACCTTAATACAGGTGAAGAGAATTTATCACAAAAGTATCTTCACAATCAATACTTTATGTTATGGAACAAATGCATATCTAAAGCGAAGTATTCACAACTAGATATGTATGAGAAAACAAGTCGCAGTTAACTGATTGAACAAAAATAGGTGAAATAAACTACTTTGCAAAAATATTAATTAACATTGAACCCAGATGAGAGTTTGTAAAAACTGATCCCTGATCATCAAAATACAGCACACACAAAAAAGGGTTAACAAATCACCTTAACAAAAGCACTCGCTTTGCACAAGTTCTTCCCACCAATTGGGCATAATGTAGCACTTCCTCATCCTCTAAGTCATTACTACCTCCTCTCAGTTCCCGATATCGACTATAATACATTGGTCGAAGATCATAAAAGACAACCAACTGCAAAGATAATAATGATAATAAGAGCTCAATCATGTTCTCAACTTTTCAGTTTGGGTATAAAGTTATATTTAGTATATACTTACTTCATTAATGTTATCAAAGGCATTACCATCTACTACACTAGGATTTGGTTCCAAACGAGAATATTTTTTTTTATCCAGCAAGGGTAAGCATTCTTCAATGGGATGCCATGTGTAGGTTTCTGGGCAGAGTAACATAGAAGGAGACAGTCCGGCCTTGTAGCGCATTTTTGGACAGGAGTGAATATAAAAGCCCATATAATACCACTTGAGTTCTGGGGCATTTGAGTGTAGTGTTCGAACAAATGCTACCTCTCTGCAAAAGACAATTTAGTCATGGGTAAACTTGAGTTGAAATAGAAAGGAATGAAGCTACAAGCTTCATTTCACAGAAAAATTATGTTGCTTCAGTGCAAACCTTAGAGATCCATATGTTCCCAGCGTGAGATCAGAGAAGTCTGGGTCATAATAAAAGTAAACAGAGGACACACATCGAGGGAGAATATCTATTACTCCCACAGCAACAAGCTTCTCATCCAACCAGTATTGTTGATGAAAAGAACCATATCCTTGAGGAGGGCCAGACCCATCGGCTGGGCGCCAAGCCTATTAGAAGAGAAACATGACAAATGTCAATTGAAAAATGTAACATTACCACCACCTCACCTACAAAGCTCAACTATGTTTTTCTATATTGAAAATTACTTTATAATGTGGAATAGTTTGAGAAGAAATTTACGTTATGAAGCACAGGAGAAAGTAGTACAGCTCATCAAAGTAAATTGATTGTTTTTGTAAAGAGTAAAAATGTTTTTAAAAGTAAAAGGTTACTTGATAAGTTGAGATAGTAGATAAATATACCTATATCCATCAAGTTAACACAAACCAACCAATAAGACTGCTTAATGATTGTAGGAAACTAGTTGTGGCAGATTGCAAGTAGCTGCATTTTAGACACAGCATACCTTTAATGGCGTGTCCACAAGGAAGTGTTGGAAAGTTTCACGGTCACACTCATCGTCCCGCTCTTTGTGGATTTTCTTCTGGTATTTAACGAAGAGGTTCCACATCCACGTCTGATCAACTGATGCCAATTCGTCCGCTCTCACCAACTTGAGCTACAAGCAATATGCCACACATGACTTAACATAACATTTCAAAAATGATAAAAGGGGAAAACAGCAATCACACTATCTCCTGTGCTTCATCTCAAATTGACAACATGCTGTCAATAAATACTATTATTTTCAACAATTTTTAAGTTGACAAGTGAAGATTGGAAAACAAAAATGTCTACTTTCATTTAAGATATTCTGAAAGTTTAAATACAGTTGCAATTTCAAACAAGAATGCACTGATCTATCAAGAGGCCTAAAGGCTGACCATATCAGTTATCTCTCTACCTCAAGAGGTGATTTGACTAGGAATCTCTTGTACTGTGATTCAGAGCATTTTGTTTCTGGATCTCGATGAATTGCCATTTGGTATCGACGATACACATTTAACGACTCCACAAATGAGTTCTTGAATTCTGCACTTGGTGGCTGCGATCTCACAAGTCGTACCTGCATGAACCAGGGTTTGGGACATAAAAAGCAAATATCGAGACAAAAACACAGGAGACAGGACAATAAGCAAGCATAAAGAGGGAAATTGATGGACAGGATAAATGTTGACACACAGTACACTGGAACTTCATTCCAAAAGGTAAAGAAGTACCAAAAGGTACCTATCATAAGATAAAATAAACATGCAGTCAGTTTTGCTTTGGATGTAAATCATTCTTAAGGATCACATTAAACTAAAATTCACTTGTAAGAATTACAATTTTGTACACACAAATCCATTGTTTGATTGAATTCAGCAAACACCAAATGCTAGGCATAAAATTACCTGTAATCTATGAGCAGGGTTGGGAGGCATCTTTTGATACAAAAAATCTTCTAATTTCTTAGGGTTAATGTCTTGTTTCTGAGCAGATGTTTCCAAAGGTAATCCTTTACTTTCTAGCTTTTGTTTTCTTCTTTCAAGCCTCAGTAATTTTGCTTTTTTACAAGGGGGCTTATCTTTATCTGGACCATTACCTGATTGGAAAAGAGTATAGAACATTGTAAACTCATACAGAAAAATATATGGTTTATAATATGAAAATTCACACAATTTTCTTACCAGGTTTGAGAGACCTAGTCCCTGTGGCGGGATTTTCTTCTACAATGTCTTGCAGCTTTACTTCTTGTTTCAAACAATCCGAAGATTCGGTTATAACTTCTGTATCTGTCTCTCTTGATGCACCAGAGTAATCTCCTAAAACAAATAGATAGATAAATACTTTTCACATACCACTAAACTAATATAGTACTCTAAAATGATCTCTTCACTTCACCTTTAAGCTCTTGGAGAGAAGATTTAAGTTGAGCAAACTTTTCCTTGTTGACACTTGCAACATGGCTAGTCTGCTGTGCTGCCATCCAATCAGGATTTCCTTCACTACTTGCTTCTAAAACGCAAAATTTAGTAAAGAGATAAGAAGTTAATGTAGTACAACCGATATAAATACAAATTCAGCCACATGAAGATTAGCCACCTTGAAAGACACACGTATTTGAGTCATCTCCAGTTAGTTTTGATTTAACACGTTCACCAAGGTCAATAAAGCGATTAACCCGCTTGATAACTTTCTTCTGGGATTTAGTTATTTTGAAGTCAATTGCTTGACACCTGTTGACAAAAAATTAAAATAAACAAAAATAGGGCTGCCAGGTTTAAGCAGGAAAATCAACTAGTGAATGAAGGGAAAAAGTGGAGACAGAGTTTGCGTGATTTTCACGCCCGGTGTGATAAAAGTCGGTTCTTGATTGGCTGCTTGAAGCTTACAAACCGTGAAAATCACGCCCGGCATGAAAATCACGCTTGCGTTTTGTGACCTCTGTATCCACACAAACACTTACTTGATGGTGTACATGGGACAACAAATTTTGTGCATTGTAGGTTTGTAACAGTAGTAGCCACTACGTCTCCAGCCTCGGTCTATCAAATCCTGATAATCATGAACGGTGAGTTGATGGGCCCACATACCTGAAATCAAGAGTATCTACATGATAAGACGTATTTAAGAACTACAATAATTTTTAGCAATAGAAAACAAAGAATGGGTTAAATTAGACAATAGTTAGCTGAATTTTTTGTTCTGCCATATGTTAGTCATCTTTGCAAGTATGACATACAATTTGGAAACATGAGGACTGAAATACCATTGATGAGGTCATACACTTAAGTTGGCGACTATGGAATAGGGACTACAATTTACGAAAAAATGAAATAGATTGTTGACAATTAGCTGGCTCCACGAAAAGATATAAAACATAAACTAACCCAACATTTTTGTGATATTCGATGAGTAATAATAACCCTTCGTATTACTGACGAAGAAATTACATCAAATAGTAAAAGCTAGACGTACCATGGCTGTAATTTGAAGATTTGGATTTGCAGTAGCCACATTTATACCCTTCATTTTCATTCTTAAAATTTTCGACAACACTTCCGAACTTCGGCTCCATCATGACAGACGCCATATTTGTTGTTTTGTTGATAGAATCAGAAGTAAACGGTATGAGAAATTTAAGAACGAATGATTGAATGGATTAATAAAATGAATGGGGGCACGCAAAAAACGAAAAATAAAGAGCTTCAAATGTCCTTTCCTAAAAACTTTACAAAAATCAACAACAGACGTATGAATCATACACTGTTTCGATTGCAAAAGAGCCGTACACAGTCCATTTGATGGGTTGGTGCTTGGCGTTGTTCACCGTAATTCCAAACCTGTTCAAAACACATACATCTTCTGTGATAACGAAAAATAATGTAGACGTTCAACAAAAAAATACTTTTGTGAGAAGGAATACATTTGTTTGGCCCCCGTCATTTAGCGTAAGACGAAACTGCCAAGTTCACAGCGCCTGGATGGTAGGCAACATTTTGCCCGCCGTGCATGCGTGTACTGCGGGGGTGGCCTACCCTGAGCCTCGCAGGCGCCGAGCTCTCGTGATTTGCCGAATGCATCTGAGAATTACTTACGTACTCTCTGGACGCGATCCCTAAGAAGAACACTTCACACGCCAGTGTTGGTGTTGAAATCTTTTCGGTGTCATAGCGTCGCGTCGCTCAACACGGCCGCGGAGCAGCGTCGTCTGCGCCGGCTAGTTCAGTGCCGCCGGCACCAGGAGACCCCCAGTTGCGACAAACGCGTTAAATGTGCTCCAATGCGCAAAAAACAGTCGATTTAAACCAGCGGCCTAAGTCAACGTGGCATATAACACCCTATCCCCTGCCACTTCGTGTTCTGCCTGGGTTGAGTTTGTGAGCACCTTGCGTGAGGAAAGTCCGAAAAGGTGCTGCTTGTGCTGCGACGCTGGCGACGCGTCGCGACTAGCAGACAGCTAAGCCCAGCCAGCAGCAACGGCAGCGGCATCGTGACAGAAACTGGCCGGCCACAATGTCGAGCAGCGAGTCGGACAGTGAATATGCAGATGTTAGAGTGTTTTTCGCCACCTCTGAGTGGAAGAAACTGACGAGTGAAGAGAAAAAGTGCCATCGACAGTCAAAGAACAACTATGAAGCCATACGGCGCTGCGGTGAGTGACAACAAGTCTTCTTTGTGTGGTTCGGTTGGAGGGGATAACCTCTCTTTGTCATTCGTAGTCTGGCAGTAGACTAATTTGTGCCATCCGCAATACATAACCTTCGAAACTGTTCCGTTGTCATAGTTAATGTGCGGGTATCATATTGATAATATTTGTATTAAAGATAATGACTGAAATGTAAGGACACACAAAGCTAACCTCTGATGGACTGCCATCTTCTCGTTCCTCATACCGCGGAACCTCCCCAAACGTGATCACTGCTCAATGGAAAAATCTGATTTCTGAACCAGAAATTTCGTTTTTTTCCAGGGTGGGCCACAAAACCCCCATTGTTCATGAGCCGCAAGCTCCCTGCCCCAGAGAGTCAGCAGGCACCTCACCATCAGGACAAGACTTCAGGAGGAGAGGGAGCAGCGTTCCCATCTGAGGGACTTAGACACTGGTCACATGGACTTGACTCGACTGAGGAACAAAGCACTTCTTTACCCCCATCCCCCGACCAGCCCCCCGAAGGTAAGTTTTAGCGAACTTTATTCCTTTATTCGTACCCACGTTTTTGGCCTACGTGCAGGTGTCCTACGACTTGGGAAGGGTGAAGGTGTGATTCTCCTGTTGCCTCCCACCTTTATTTTTTGCTAGTCCTCCAGACTGTCTCTGCGTCTGGTTCCAATTACGACGCACAACATTATAAATAATATTAAAATAAAATAATATTAAAAGTAACTACAGTCATCCCCCCCCCCTTTCCAAAAAATCTGGCGCTGCCCGTAAATGGATTTTTTCGAAAATTAGTGAGAGTCATCTGTATACCTTCTCTTAGGCGCCAGCCTTGGGCGTGAGAACTTCGGGCTCAGCACCCCCGAGCGCAGGACCTGCGGACTGAGGACCCCTGAGTTCAGGACTCCCGAGTTTAGGACTCCCGAGTTCAGGACACCCGAGTTGAGGACCCCCGAGCTTTGGACCCCCGAGTTCAGGACCCCGGAGCTCAGTACCCCCGATCTTTGGACGGAGTTCAGGACCCCCGTGCGTTGGACCCCCGAGCCCGAGATCTCCGTGCTGGAGACTCCAGATCTCAGCATCCTCGAGGCCAGGACCTCCGCGGCCCGACGCTACCTCAGCCTGGAGACGTACGAGGAGCCAAAGCTGCAGGACGACGACATCCTTTGTAAGTTTCGTGGTAGGTTGGCGGCCAGCTGGTCCATATGCTGGCGTGCGCGCGTGCGCGTGTGGCTGGCAGCCACTCTGTACCGGGAATCGAGTCGCACTGTAGCTCAGCACTCAACCTTCTCGAAATCCCTCACAGCCGCCGCCGAGCCTACGACGCCTGCTAGTGCTGCTGGGGCACGCGAGGAGCAAGCGCGGAACACTGAAGGCCACGACCACCAGGAGAACGCTGTCGGGGCCCGAGGCATCCGGGAGGTGCCCCATCGCTGCGCGTCCTGTGGGGCGGCCTTTAGGAGAGCGACCCTCCTCCGGGCACACATGCGGACCCATCATGCAGAGGGAAAACTAGACAGCCGTGAAAACTGCGGCGTTGATCTCCCGGAAAATTTGGATCTCCGTAGACACCGTAGGACACTCACTCGTTCCAAACCTTACAGGTGCCACACTTGCGGCAAAAGATTCGCTCAGAGCTCCAACATTCCTAGACACATGAGGACTCACACAGGTGAGAAACCCTACAAATGCCAGACTTGTCACAAAAGATTCTCGAAAACTGACTCTCTCCGTGTGCACATGAGGACTCACACGGGTGATAGACCCTACAACTGCCAGATTTGCGGCAAAAGATTCACTCGTAAAAACACTCTCGATGTACACTCGAGGATTCACGTAGGAGATAGACCCTACAACTGCCAGACTTGCGGCAAAAGATTCACTCAACATCAACAGCTCCGTGTGCACACAAGGACTCACACAGGTGAGAAACCTTACAACTGCCAGACTTGCGGGAAAATATTCACTCGTATTGACAACCTGCGTAGACATGCGAGGACTCACAGAGGTGAGAAATCTCGCACATTGTAGACCAGCTCTGTTTTCACATGAGGACTCACACAAGTAGGCCCTATAATTGCCAGACTTGTGGTTGTGCTTTCCACGTGAGTCATTTGACATACCGAAAAATAACTAAAAAGGCCGCAGTGTGCATGTGTGCTGATGCCTTGAGACCGACTGTAAGTAACTAAGCCCAATTAGTTAATGTATTTCTAGAGGAAATTTAAGTTGTTTTATATTAATCTTTTTTTCTTTAACTTCTCTGTAATTATAATTTTGTAAATTATTTTGCTCTTTTGATTTGACCATCGTTTTGACCTGATTGATTTTAATTACACTTGGTTTTCTGTAGTTTTGCCAATAAACATCTATAAAACCAAACACATCAATTGTTGCCCTATGTAGACCAGTTCCAAACCCTTCCACACCAAATGTAAGCTTCACCTCGCTTATTCGCCTAAAGTTTCGCCATCGAGCCGCAAGGCCTTGTTCGGTTTCTTTGTGTCCAGGACGTGTCTTTTAAAAAGACGGGGTGGGGATTGGGAGTTTTCCCTTTACGATCTGAGCGCCTGCGCCTGGTTCAAATTCCGACGAACGTTACAACTGTTAAACATACCTACTGTCGTCCTTGGTCAGACCGGGCTGGCATGGCAGAGGGAGCGATGCGCTGTCGGTTGCCTACATACAGGGGTTTTGAAGCGTAAATTGCCTACCTTTCAGGCGGCTATCACTAAAGACGACAGGAGGGGGACATCCCCCCCCCCCCTTGCCTCCTTGAACCGCACCTGTGTCATCCCGCCCATGAACGCATAGCCGCGCTTTCGACAAAAGTAATTTCTCCCAATCCTAGGTCGAGAGTAAAATCTCCCTTCTCTTATTTCAGGGGACGCCCCCGGAGCCAGGACCTCCAAGCTTAAGACGTCCGAGCCCAAGTCCTCCAGTCTCAGTAACCCCGAGCCCAGGACCTCCGAGCCCAGCGAGAACTCCGAGACGAGGATCTCCGCGGCAAGGACCACAGCGGCTCCCCGCCACCCCAAGCGGGCTGTGAGCCGGAAGGCGCACAAGGAGCCAGAGCCACAGGACGACATCTTCCTCTGTAAGTTTCACGGCGGCCAGCTGGGCATGCAGGCGTGCGTTCGGAGCCTCAAGGCGCTTTGCTTTCCTGTAGGTTGTCCAACACGCCTGTACGTCGGCATGCTCCGACGGCTCGCTCGCGTCGCGTTGGTCCGGCTGGCGACTGGACCGGGTGCTAGGCTGTCCCCAAAAAAAATCGACATGCCAGTTCGCGTCTCTAATGAAAGTAGAGGTTCTTCCGATCACAACGAGCACGCACAGACCCCTGTACGACAAGCGGAACCATAGGCGGATCGTTGCCAAAGTTTCTTGTCCAACTTCGCGCGCTTCACGGGTACCATGTTCACGAGGCCGCCGGGCGAGGGCCGCGCGGCAGGTGAGGACGACCTGGTGTGTGATGACTACGTAGGGTATGTACTCACCATCGGACGTGGTGCCGCACCTCTACCTCTACCCCCTCAGGACACAGGGCCTAAATACCCGGTTTTGCGTTATGTCGCTCGGGTACGAGTACCCTTGATCGGGGACGATTGCCGATTCCGCGGAAATGTAGCGGAGCCATACGCTTATCAAACCCCCCATGCTGAGTTCTTAACGTTTTTCTGCATCACACCAAAAAGACGAGCAGAAGTGGGAGAGAAGCGGTCACCGCGTTTGAGCGGGGCGCGGCGGGAAGCTGTACAGTGCGTTTGCCGCGCTCCTCACCCATAGCGTATGCTGGCTGCTGGACGCTGGTGGACCTGGCCCGCACCTGACCAACCCTTAGTGCCTTGCCTACTTTAATAGTCGGTAGCACATGCGCGCGCGCTCCACCTCTCTCTCGCACGCAGAGATCGGGCTTTAGTGCGGTGAGCGGAAGGTTCAAGCTGCGGTGAGCGCACTATGCAGCTTCCCGCCCAGCCGGCGCTATTGTTTGGCGCGCTCCGCTCAAACGCGCTGACCGCCACTCTGGCACGTCTGCTCGCCTTTTCGGCGTGATGCAGGAAAACGTTAAAAACTCGGCATGGTGGGTTCGATAGGCCTATGGCCCCGCTACATTTCCCCGCAATCGGTAATCGCCCCCGATGAACGGTACTCGTACCCGAGCGACATAACCCAAAACCGGGTATTTAGGCCCTGTGTCATGAGGGGGGAGGGGGAAGGGGGCGGCACCACGTCCGATGGTGAGTACATACCCTAGGTAGTCACCACACACCGGGTCGTCCACACCGGCCGCGCGGCCCGCGCGCGGCGGCCTCGAGAACGTGGTACCCGTGAAGCGCGCGAAAACGGACAAGAAACTTTGGCAACGATCCGCCTATGGTTCCGCTTGTCGCACGGCGGTCCGTGGGTGCTTGTTGTGATCGGAAGAACCTCTACTTTCATTTGAGACGCGAACTGGTGAAATCGGTGACCTGACCCACCAAAATGGGACAACCTA